TGCTATGAGAGAACAATCTCTTGCAACGCAGGGCTGCCAATCTCAATTTTGTAGTAATTAAAAAATAAACTTGAATATATTTGAAATATTCTTAAAATAACTAAATAACAGTCGAATAAACATAATGATAAATAGGTAGACTATTTTTAATAGTTGGATTGTTTTTTTTTTGGTGAATCGAAAACAAAAGAGAATAACTGATTTCTGCGTTGCAACTACGGGCATAACTTTTGACAAATTTGTACGAAAGTGAGGAATGTCTTAGCTTTAGTCTACCTTCGGCGGACCAGAAGGCATAGCCGAAACGGAGATTAGCCGTCTCAACAAATTTGTTATAGGCTCAAAGCGCTTTGTCGATCTGTAAGGGTCTTATTGTGGTGTTGTGGATTCCAATACACATATTTGCGTGGTTGTCAGAATTGCAATTCTGATTTTTAATGGTGTCACAGAATCTGTTTGAATTTTTGTCATTTCGAACATATGAATAAACAATATTTGAATCAGCTGTTTACTAAGCGACTATCTTCTTGTATTGTTTCTGATAACAAAACCGATAAGATTGGTTACCGTGACACCCAAAACCGATACAATTTCTGTTTCAAACGTCAAACCAATAATATCTAAATTCATGACCCCTACTACTTTTATTATCGGTTTCAATTTTGATTCCGCAACCAGATTCTTAGAGAATAATTTTATTAAAAAAAACCTGCCATCAAAATGGTTTGTTATGTCTGTAATATGTTACGGTTTCTCGAATTAAACTGGAGATAATCAATAAATGATGTTTGGTTCTTCGATAAATCGATTCACAGTTCCATCTCTAAAACCACCAATTTGAGAGTTGGAACCAATGTACAAAGCACATTACAAAATAAACAAGTATTATCACTTTTTGAACATTGTTTATCTAATTTAAAGTATTTCTTTTAGTTAGAATTAAATTACAAACTGTATTATACATTTATCACAATTTTACAGAAATATATATATTTTATTTATATATTACTCGTACTTTATACTATGTGATTTTATTTCACTAAACACGATACTTTCATGTCAATTCGCATTCATTATAATTCGGGAGTGAGATTTGCACATTTCTTCTAAGCACTTGGTGGTCATTTAGCAGAATTTTCCAAACGATTAAACGGAGCGAAAGTTTCCCGAATTTGTATCAAACAGCATTATATAATTTTAAGTAAATAAATATTACTATTACTATTAATTACCCGTTTGCAAACAAAAATCACAATTAATAAGTTAACTGAAAATGAAACTGTCATATATTATAGCCAGGGAATTCAATTAATTTAGCTGACATCAGAGATCGTATACGTTCTCTCCATATTGTCTTGACGTTTTGCCCTATTACAATATTCTATATAAATTATCATAAATCTGTTGAAATCAGAAATACAGGGTGACACAAAATAAAAATATATACGGTTTTTAGACAGTATATAATATTTAATAATAAATCATTTCTAAATAGTAAATGAGTAAAAGGCTGAATAAAAGGCAGTAATTTTTTGAAAGGCGAGTTTTCAATCAACTGATTTCTCTTTACACATTCTAATAATAATTGGTATCAGAGATAGAGAATTTTTAGATATTTCTCCGTTCTCTGGCTTCAAAGCTTCTACAATAATACGAACTAAGCAACTCTACCTTTTCGTTTTTTTTTTTTGCGAGGAATTTTGGCGAAAAGGAAATATAAAAAATCTTCTACCGAAGCGAACAGTTGTGGATGATTAATTTCATAGAAATTTGCGATTGAAGTGAATTAGATTTGTCAGTGCCAAAAATTACAATTTAAATAGTGGTAAGTGACATATAAAACATTTTTGGAACAGTTTTAAATTTATTTTAACTCAATACGTATCACTTTATATGAGCACATATATTTGTATGAATTTACATTTAAATAAATGTAAGAGTAAGGAAAGCATTGGGCAACTTGCCGAAATAGGAAGAATATTCAATGCCGGCTTTGGATACATTTGGAATTTTGAAGTGTTTGTGCATTCGTTTATTAGACAGGATGATATTGAAATACAAAGTTGTGGAGTATAGATATCAAGGCCATGAATACGTATACTCAAGAGATTTGGGCGTGATTTAACCTCACAATCCGTAAAGAGAGGTGGAGAAATGCATATTTATTTGTGAAGATGTGGTCAAAACCACATACAAACGTAGGTGTAGCTTTTCACTGGCGTTCCTCCAAGAAAAGAGAAAAAACAAAATTAACACAATAGGACTTGGCAGCTGTTTGATTTTATTAAATGGAAAATAATTTTATTTTTGGTTGATGATTTAATTTTTTATTACATTCAAAGCAAAATTCAGATTTTTATTTTCATAAAAATGCATATACCTATTACAAGTACTCACTAAGATATCACTTACATACTATGTACATATATAAGTAGGTACATATTTTTGTTATTGAAAAATATTAATGAATTGGTGCCTCTACGTTCATAAGTATTTAATATGAAATGAATAAATTAAAGAGTTTATATTCATTATCAAAATTTTAAATTAGAAATGGCAATTGTAAAGAGGGTACTGATCAAGATGTTTTTTTAAATAATTGAAGATATGATAAATGTACAAATATAATTTGGGTCGTATTATATAGTATAATTTTTATTGGTTCAATTTTCTATAAAAATGTGGTAATATTCACTGTTGTATAATAAATACTTCATAGTTTCTAATTTTTGATAAAGAAAACTTGAAACTTAGAGACATACATCTCAATAATAACATTAACTTTTTTTAAATTTTTTTATGGATACATTTTGGGAAATGTATAGTTTAGGTCCCCAACTCAGGAGGCCTCAAAAATAAATTTTTTTTTTAATCGTCTTATTTTTACGCGCACATTACAAATCCGTGAGCGGAAAGTGAATTTTTTGGATAATTTATGTATATATATACAAATATATTTAAGGCACTTTGCACATATTTTTCAAGTCACTTAGTTGTTGTTGTAGCGGCAAAATTTTGCATAATTTAGATCACTTAGCTGTAATTACCAGTTCAGTGAGCTAAACATTTTCTTGTGAAAAAATATTCTGAAGAAATGTAACAGTCACAACTTCTTTTACGCCGCGACCTGATGGTATAAACGAATATCGGAGATCGTCGAACTCCATTTCGCACTGGCAGCCGCGCTTCAAAAAAATAACCCGAGACACGTGGACGAAAACGCCAAACGACTAGAGAAATCGATTACCGCATACTCCAGCCGCCTAAAAAAGGTCTTAATGAGCCATCTTAAGAAACAAGCGTCTAGATCTTGATATTAGTGACGTAACAGTTCGTAGACGTTTACTTGAAAACAATTTATTTTTGCGAGGTCCTCGAAAAGTTCCAATTTGCCAAAGGAACAGTCCGATTGCCCCATCTAGAAATGAAGAAATATTTTGTAGGTACAATTCAATTGTATTCACTAACAAATACAAGTCAAAACAATCTACTTGTATTAATTTCAAAAAAACAAAAGTAAATATAAAAAATCAGGTAGAATTCAGGAATCACAATAATAAAAATCGAAAATATGTAATAAATATATAAATATAAAAACATAACACGACAATACGCGTGGATTAGTTAGTTGATTATGTATATAATTTTGTGTGATAACGTCATAACCATAAACTCCTGATTCGTCAACATTTATGACCCTCAGGAGCAGATCTGGGTCGTCGCAGACTGAGTTCCAACATCTGAACAATGCCACGCCCCTATTGGTGGTAGGCGGGTGATTGATGATGCAAATGGAAGCCCTGAGTGTCCTCTAAACGATGGAATTTGTTTGACCCACCTAGCTTATATACTCCGGCCGCTAGAGGTCGCAGAAGGGTGGAAAAACACCTGTGTGCAGGGCAAAATTACCCATGGTGCATTCTATAGAATTTCCACGCTCCTGGTGGTGGTAGGCGGGTGGTTGATGGTGATAATGGAAGCCCCGAGTGTCCTCTAGGTGATCCACTTGGTTTTATCCCCCCCGCTCATATACCCCCTTAACTGGAAACACAAAAAAGGCAAAAAATTAGAAATTTTGAAATTTTCACTTTTTTGTTGATTGCCACTCACCTGTTCAACCTATATCTGAGATTGGCAAACTTTGCGGCGACCCGACTCATACCCAAATCATTGGGTATTATTAAAATCGAATGGCACGAGCCAACTCTCTGAGAACATTTCGTACCAACGATAAACGTTGCTTTTGTCAAAGGCAGCTTCATCATATGCCACGGTCAACATTCGGAATGCGTCCGTGCACTTAATCTTGTTTTTCTCACAAAATTGTATACAAATTATTTGAACCATTTTTTGGAATAAGCAAAAAATCGAAGACGAACCAAAACGGATCCAAGTAAAACAGCTGTCAAAAATTAACTAAAATTCAAAATGGCCGATCTTGTCAGCATAAGTAACTACCGTCTCTAAATAAAAGCAGTAGCGGCAAATTACTGTCAAAAATTCCTCATGCCCATATAAATATTTTGTATGGCGCATATCTAAATAAACGTTGAGCATTGAAGAATTCGATTTTGACAGCGCGGTAAGAAGTAGAGTTGGCTGCAGAAAACGAAAAAATTAAAATTTTTTGAAAAGTTTCTTGATGCGCAATATTTAATGCTTGTACAAATGAATATAAGTATTATTAATAAATTAATGGGTTTACATTTCATTTCGGCGTTAAACTGAGCGGTAAAAAAAAGCGCCGCTCAACGTTTTTATTTAGCTGGCGTATGTAAGGGATATGAATACCAACATAACACAACAAAATAATCAAAAATTGAATACACGTAGCCCGCGAAAATTCAAAATTCGCGATACTTTTTGAACAAACCTTGTACGAGGGCTGCTACATATATTTCTGGGTGCAATCTGACATTTCCATTGGAAAGTGTAATGTTTTTTAGCATAACATCACTCAGAACGTGTTGTCATTTAATCGTGAATTGTTTTATTTACAGGGAATTAAAGGCCAAAAAATGAAATTAACTCGTGAAAATTTTCGTGCGATCATTTTTCACAACTTTCGACGTGGATTATCACGACAAGAGTGCATCGATGAACTAAAATCTTTGTATGGCTATGAAGCACCATCCTATAGCAATGTGAAAAACTGGTACAACGAATTCAATCGTGGCAGACGCTCGCTCAAAGACGAATTCCGTGAAGGTCGTCCAAAAACAGCCGTTGTGTCAGAAAACATCGATGCCGTACGTGAACTGATAATGCAAGACCGTCATGTAACATACCTTCAGATAGAGGCATGCCTATGCATTTCTCCCACCAGCATACATTCGATATTGCATGAACACCTGGCCGTAAAAAAGGTTTGTTCTCGTTGGATCCCGCACAATTTGACAATCGCTCAAAAAAAGGCTCGTGTGGATTGGTGTAAAGAAATGCTGAAAAAATACGATCGCGGTGCTTCAAAAGACGTTTATAAGATCGTCACAGGTGACGAATCATGGATCTATGCGTATGAGCCCGAAACAAAACAGCAATCGACCGTGTGGGTCTTCCAAGACGAGCCAAATCCAACGAAAGTTGTTCGTGGAAGCAGCACTTCGAAGCAAATGGTCGCCTGTTTCTTCGGCAAAACTGGTTATGTGGCGACTGTTCCGCTTGAGCAACGTAGGACGGTCAACTCTGAGTGGTACACCACCATTTGTTTGCCTGAAGTCTTCGGAGAAATTCGAAAAACGAACAAGAGAAGAAGAATCATTGTGCACCATGACAATGCGAGCTCTTACACATCGGCTCAAACCAGCGCCTTTTTGACCGGCCAAAACGTCGAATTGATGGGTCATCCGCCGTACAGCCCTGACTTGGCACCCAATGACTTCTTTTTATTCCCACACATCAAGAAAATAATGCGTGGTCAACGATTTTCGTCGCCAGAAGATGCTATTGAAGCATTCAAAACCCATGTTTTGGAGGTGTCTCAATCGGAGTGGAAAAAGTGCTTAGAAAATTGGTTTGAGCGCATGCAAAAGTGTATAAATCTTGATGGAGAATATTTTGAAAAACAATAAAACCATTTTCGTTGATAAATATTCGTATTTTCATTATTAGGCCAGAAATATATATAGCAGCCCTCGTACTATTGGTGGGTGATATGTGCGGTGATTAGTTTTCCGAAGTTTTCTCTTTACACAGAAACCAACAGCAAAAACTGGAAAATCATACGTATGGTTGGATTCGAATATTATGACAAGTACTAATGTATACAGCGCACACTTTATTTGCCTTCTGAGCTCTTGCTATTTAGTTGTTACCATTCCTTGAAATCGGCTAACACTTTCGCCGTGTATTCTTCAATTTATTTTTATAATTAATGATTATTTGGCCTGGTTAGAAGTATGTTTTTTTTTTGGTTTGGCTTAGGTGTGACGGAAGTATAGTCTTGGCTAAAGAGAAGTTTTTACAAAAACTTCCAGCTATGGTATTACTATTTAACACACGAAATAAGAAACAGTCATACAATTTTTAAATGAGGTATGTTTTCCTTTATCATGCCAACCAACCCATTTGTCGAAGAACCTGCTAAAAAGCATATATTGCACATGTCAACCTTATTCAATTTGCCTTGTGATGGTTTTTAAACGTTGACCTTAAAACACCATACAGAAATCAAAAATTGTGCCAAAGAGAAGTCGCTCCTCCATTCACCCTGTTGAAGTATAATATCAAAATGCATTATATACATATCTATGTACATCCCATACTACTATTTCGAAGGCTTCCGGGACACATAGAATTTTCCGCAGCTCACTTTGCTTTTACAGCGGCAACATATTTTCTTGCTTGGAGTAAATCTTATTTTAACGCATGCGCGAATAAAGTAATTTAACTTTATTTAAACAGCAAATATTTTGGTGTGTGGGTTGAGATTTTATACAAAAAAGAGTATTTACACACAAGTAGTAGGCTGCGTTTTTGTCGAACTATAATTTGACAGTTGAACTTCGAATATTTCCCTTCTGTTCCTTTTAGATGAGAGAATCTTTCCTTCTCTTAAATGAAGAACACGAGCTCATTTGAGTCTAGTTTCGGAGCGTGCCGTAGCTGCTGGGTGTACAGTCGGAATGTGAGCACGTCACGGAGCACTTCTTATTTTGTGGTGGGAAGCATTGAGTATTATTTTCACGAAATTTAAAAGCAATTTTTTCGGATGTGTTATTAAAATTAAAATTAATTATATTGGGAGTATACCACTAGTTATCGAACTAAGTTTTAGTTATACTTTTGATATGTTTATTGACAAAGAAAAAATTTCAGGCGAAAAATATTAATTTTATGATGTTAAGCTTTTGTTGGTCTCGGAGTGATTTAAATGTTTAAAAGTGGGTGCACTAAATCAAACTAATTTCACTTCAAAAATATGCTCAAACAAATTGAAATAGATGACATTTATAAGCCTATTTTCTCTATAATATTGTGCGTCAACACCATTTGTACATATGTGTGCCTATATGAAATGTTCAATCGACAGCAAACAAAATCCAATATTTTTGTAAGAACTGTGTTATTCATCATTTCGAGTTTAGAAAAGTTCAACAATCATTCCAAGGCAACCATAATATATTAAAGCATTACATTATTGGTTCCAATGTTAAGAGCCCGGAATAACTTGACCTAATTAATTTCCTGTCAGCTGATTAATAGCTACACTTATGTGTATGTATATGTTATTTTATAGGCGTTGGCGCTAGTGTACTTGTTTTTACAATATAACAATTAAATATGAAGGATATTTTTTATTTTGATTTGGTGCCACTTTGTATTCACGTCTCCATAAATACACATAAATAGGTAAACCTTTTAGACTTATTAAGAAACTTTAGAATCTGACATTTAGTAAGAAATTTTAACTCCTAATAAAACTGTTAAATGTACTCTTACAACTTACAACAATGAATTATATCGCAAATATTTATATGATAATATGTTAGAGTGAGTGGTGCATCATAATTTCTTGGAGAAATCTAATTTGTTCAAATTATAGGCAGGAGAAATGTTTTCCTGTTGTCGTGCTAGTTCGAAAAATTCGAATCTACCAAAAAAAGTAAAAAATAAAAAAGTTGATGCGTTAATCCAAAATCAAAATGCGGAAGGTGGAAGCGGCGAGGATCAGAAGCGAATAATTCCAACGATAAAAATCGAGAAGGGCAAAGCGAATGACTTTGAAACCGAAAACCATTCATTTTCTCTAAATGGAAAAGAATGCGAAAGTGTACTTGAAAATTCTGCAGCAGATAATAGGATGTGTGATGGCATAGCAAAAGCTGGTACAACACAATCCGAAACAGCAGATATTGCAGCTAATACGCAGCTAAGGAACGAAAATGGTACTTTTTTTTATTATTATTGTTATTTTGCTGATCTACTTGAGGTTATTAAATTTTAAACTTTTTGGAATTTGTCGAACAATAACCGTAGCTAATTTTTTTTAACTATACATATACATATGTATATATAGAAAAAGTCCTCTGGACCTTTTACATATTTTGTTGGCTCATTAAAACGAGTAATATGTAAACGTGGAACAATTGTAATGTAGAAACTTTGTTCATTCTCATGAAATCGCTTGATTACTGGCGTAACCAGTGTTCGTGTTTACTTAAATAAAAAATGTACAGAAATCCATTCAATATTTGTGTTTCGAAAACACACAATCTAAAGCTAATAGATAAGTGTATTTTGATATACATACATATGTATGTATGTACATACATATATGTATTTAGAGTGTGTATTTTAATTTATAGTAGATCACTTCAAAAGAAACTTGTTAATAGCTAGATAATCTAATATAATGGTAATTAATTTAACGTTGCTTCCAAAAATTTCAATATCACTATTTAAGCAAAGCAAATGTACTATTACCTATCCTTACGATCGAATTACCCTATTATTTGAAATAGGTATATGGTAAATCTTCGTAGTTCTAGTGTTAAGGACGGCTTTACAAAAAAAAAAGCTTAATAAATAACGTTAACATTAAAGTAAAAGACCCACTTGACGTTAAGAGAAAGTTATTTTCCAAGAAAGCAGCGGGTATTATAAAATAACTTTATTTTTTGTATTAGTGATCTAAATAAAGTAAAATGTACTTAACATATTTAAGTTCTGAAAGAAAAAAGAAGAATACTGCATAAAAAGTATGACTTGGCTGAAGAAACCACTTTTATTGGTGAAATATAGGAAAAATAATAATTCGTACACACTTTAAAATACATACATAGGTATATACATACCACATGTATGCAAGGCTTAGTGATTACGTTTTACTGTAAAAGTAAAATTTTTTGTTTGCTATGAAGAAAGTATATAAATTGGATTTGAGTTTTCACCATGTATTTTTTTTTTTTGTCCATGTTAATGGACTTCTTTTTTTAATGACCGTCACATTGTATTCGCAGTTGGGAATGACCAAAGCGATGTAGAAACTAGATTGAATCAAAAAACGAAAACTGATTATAGTTGTACAACAACTACGAATGAAATATTATCTGAAAACTGCGGAAAGTTAGACGACATAGAAACAACAGTTTTGAAACTTAATGACGAAACTATAGCAGGCACCACACCAGTTAAGAGTTGTCTTTCACGACACAATTCGATTCACACATCCATAAAGAAGAAGGTTAATATCAGTACACAAGCAGAAATAATAGAACCGGATCCTGTTCCTCAATCCCCACACGAACCCGTTTCATCAACTGTGGATGATGACGATGTTTTTTCCGATTCACTGCCACCGCCAAAACGCGAAAGTATGTGTGCGCCGTATATTGAACAAAGTGAGGTTCCAGAATTAGTGGCATATGCTCATGGGCTTCCCGAATGGTTCAATGATGAAAGGATTAATGAAATGTAATGTTCAAAAATGATAATTAAAAACAATTAATTTATAATAAGAGGCCAATGAATTGTGAACGAAGGAGAGAAATTTAAGTTTTATTAATTTATTTACCAATTTTATGGTCAATAACTTGTTTACCTAAACATATTTAGCTGTTTGGAGGAGCTGGAATTGCTTCAATTAAATCTCCATTTGTAGTTCATCCTATTTCCGATACAATTCTTAATAAAAGGCTCAAATAAAAGTTCATTGGCCTACAACATGAGAAGTAAGACTTATGAACCTAATTTTATACCACTCTTTAATATACTTTTAATGAAAGAATTTCCAAAATAGAGAAGTAGTAGCTTAAACAGATTTGTTGTGTTATCTGAAAAAATTCACAAAAAGTTTACAGAGGAGAGGTCATAACATTCCAATGAATGTCTGTCGTTCATAATTCAATGGCCAAGAATATATAAATAAAGATATATATTTAGTTAAATATTTCTAAAACCGATATAAAACCACATACACAATATTATTATTTATTAAATATGAACTCTTATATTAAAAAACAATCAAAGGAGGAAAAGAATTTATTATACTTAACATTTTCATTATTTATACAACAAGCCATTTTATTGGTACAAAGTTTTATTTTGTGAAAATTACATAGACCTTAATTCAGTAAATGTAAATATGCTGTTTCGTTTGAATTTTTATTTAATATTCAAGTTGTGAATTAGCTTAAATTAAAATTCGACAGAATTGAATTTTGCTTTCATGCATGGTTACTACGTATTTACGTATAATAATTTATCTTCAACTGCAACATTTTCATACAAACACTTTTCATCAATCATCTGCGAAATCCAACGATTAAAAAATCTTAAAATTTGTAGTGGTTGCATTGAGCCACCTGTTACGCCTGTTGGTCGTGATGAGCTTGAATTGAGGCGACAGCGTCTGTATACAGACCTATTGCGTGCAGCGCATGCAGCTGTAGAGCATAACGTACGCTTTACCCCGTTTGCAACAAATATAACTGGGGATGTGACTAGCAGAATAAGTGGAAGCGTTAGAGGTGATTACTTTTTAGTAAATAAGTAAAACCTACTTTGTGTATTACTAAATTATTACCGTATTGCATGGGTCACAGTTATTATTTGTAAAAATATAAATATTTTCATTCTCTACCTTGTGTATTAGTTTCGCACATATTTTTCCTTTATTAATCAATAACTTTCTTGTTAAAGCTTGACTTGAAATATTTTTGAGACAAAAAATGGTACCAAGCCATATTTTTATTTCTTCTGTCGGGTGTATAAATTGTACATACTATAGTCTTCTGGCATCCAGACATGTTTGTGACATGCTAAACCAAATAGGCTTAATACCTAAACCAGCAGTTAAATAACTAAATAATTCCTTATTACTATAACTATCTACTATACATATATTATTATTTCACCTAACAAACATATGTGATTTATTAGTGGATGTCGTGTATTTTGTCAAATCATCGGTAACAATTTAATTTAATGTTAATTTTTTTTTTACTCATTTTTAATAATCCTGATTTGTAAGTACATATGTAAGGATGTACGCGGAAAAAAGGGCAAATTCTACTTGCTGTTCATTAGTTTAGTGGTTTTCTTAAAAATTGTGTCTTTTGAGTCTAATTGTTTGACTGCCAAAGGATTGACATGATAACTAATTCTGCATAAATATGCTGAACTAAATCTCTTTTTCTCAAGGGGCGAATTAATATCAGATTTTTCTATTGGTATCTTTGAAATATACAGGAAACGATTGTTTGCAGTCTCTAAAATATTGTGTAATGAACTTTATTAAAGGAGTATATTTAATGCCCGAAATGTATCATCTTATTTTAATTTTTTTAGAAAAATAATTTTCACTTATAACTATTATTAATATAAGTAAATGACTAATACGTTTTTACTGAAAACAGCTTAAGAAAAGGTTTTCCCCATGGGAGTGTACCCAAATATTCATATCTTATCTTATCAACTTTTCACTATTGTGGATAACTTGTGCGAATGAGAATTCATTCAGTTAACAATTTGATAGCTAACGAGTATGGAAGAGCTAAGTTCGGGCGCAGCCAAATTTAGAGATATATTTACAAAACTTTATTATAAACGATATAAATCATTACATTAGAATTGGCCGTTTTATGATTCAATTGCGGCAATTTGCATACTATAATTATAAAAGGCAATGTTCTTACCAAGTTTTGAATACGAAATTTTTGTAGTTTATGAGGCGCACCACCCTTATTTTTAAAATTTTGTAAGGAACATATCTCCTCCCATTGATATCTTTTTTCAGAGTTATAAAACCCACCTTATGTTATTTGTTTAGAATAATGATGTTTATTATGCCGGAACTCAACCCGACTTGTCCTAATCACTCAATAAATATGTATAACTCAATTACTTTTGCAATAGTTTATGTGTCTTACTCTTTACAACATGGTGCAAGAGTATAAAAATTAGGCAAGTTTAAGAGCTTAGAAGTCTTAACTTTTGCTTACTACGCTTCAAATGGTAAGCAAATAATTATGTACTAAGTAAGCGGCATGATTCATTTATGTAGTGTTGACTATTTCGTGATTCACTTTTTCGTTCGACGCTAAATAAGTGATGTGCTTGTTGGCTAAATTGATACTGAATGAACGATTGCAGCTAATAAAATTAAATAGTTGCAAACAAGTGCAAAAGTCTGAATGATTCATTTGCTGCTGCCGTTGGCTATGCTGACTATAACCGCAACAACCATATCCACAGCGGCAGCGTTGATATCTCCGTTGTGACTGTTTGTTTAATGCTGATACTGTAAAATTGATATTCTTAATGTATAAAATGCACATATAGATATATACTTACGTACATATGTATATAATTGTGTGAGCGAATTAACCCAAAAGTATTGTGAAAGGCATTGAATTTTTGAGTAGTAGTAGAAGATCTGTACTATTCGAATGGGTCAAACATTGAGCGAATGTTGTGGTCGAACTCTGATCATCAACGACACAAGAACTTGCAACAATCCGGGTAGGGGAAAGTGAAATTAAACAGTCTGTGAAAGACACGCTCTCTTTATGTTAATAAAATTCCGGAATATGTATATTAAATTCTTAACAGTACTTTCAATCTATCCAGAAAATAATTATGCCGAATATTTGGCAAGAAATCTTTTCATCTAAATTGCCTTAGTAATAGTTTTTGCACACAACTTAATGTAAATTTTATACAAACATGTATGTAGGTATACATGTACGAGTGTTCGATTGCAGTAAGTAAGAACGGTGGAATGTTTATATATAAAACCGCCTATACATAATATAAGCAATGATGCAAAAGAATTTGAGGAAAGATAGGCGACTGCCAATCCAGAATGAGTCACATTGTCATATAACGATTTCTTAATATCTACTGTTTTTTATTCCAACTTGGGTACTTTACAGTGTCGCCTGCTTACATTTTTAGCGTTTATAAGTGAGCATATTGAGTTATTTTTGAAAACTGTTCCTCGCATACTATATATTTATATACGTATCTATTTATAAAACGACTATATAGTATTGCTTTCTACACAAGTGAGAAATCTGGCTTATTGATATTTGATATTTTAAATACTATTTAGATTGTGATCCGGATTTAAAACCATCCGTTGCTGAAAATCTTGAGAATTTGGTAAATCGTTTAGAGCAATTAGTTGAGCGTTTGGAACGTTCGATCTCAGCACGTGAGCTAGAAATTGCAAATCGCACAATTGATGCAGTTCGAACGAAAAAGCGAGAAAGTTTCAACTTAGAGAGTGCCGAATTACTTACAGCGTCGCTTACTGAACAATTGCCACTACAGACGGAAAGCATAAATAATCGAATAGAAAAATTGGAGCGTTCATTAAATCAAATAAACGAACGACACAGCAGCAGTTTGAGTACGAGCAATAGCCAGTGCAGTCAACAACTCAGAGAACAACAGGAGCACCAACAACAAAAAGGGGAGGGTAGCCTTGAAAATATACCAACAGTGCTTGAAGATTATCAAGTGTCCACTTCTCAGCTAGTCTCCGAAGGAGAGCAATATTCGCAGTTAAAGCCGCCGCCCGAAATGAGTGTACTAGGCTTCCAGGATATTATCAGTGGTCCGTTAAATCAATATTTAGCGCTTTCTGAGAAAATCGGTGGCGACGTTGCAAAACATGCGCATTTAGTAAAATTAGCATTTGAGTAAGTCGTAATTTTTTAAATTTGTATTTATGGTATTTCTTTATCAAACTTTGTTTTCGGTTGGTATTGAATTAACATAATAAGCATACCATAAGGAATTTCATCAAAATAATGGCATATTTAGACAAATTGGAGTGTACATTTTCTTATACCATATATGATGTTATTTTCAGTGCTCAATCGCAGTATGTTACGTTAGCCAGTCAATGTTCTCAACCTAACCAAGAGAAGCAAATGGAGTTGCTAAAGCCCACTTCTGTGCAAATTAGTGCTATTCAGGACTATCGTGAGAAGAATCGAGGATCTGCGTTTTTTAACCATTTATCGGCTATTAGCGAAAGTATTCCAGCTTTAGGATGGGTATGCGTGGTAAGTGAAAATCAAATTATACTACGATAATGCTTAGTATTTTATATTATCTTAATTAATAGTCACCTACACCTGGACCGCATGTGAAAGAAATGAATGATGCCGGCCAATTTTATACAAATCGGGTGTTGAAAGAGTGGAGAGATAAAGATTCAACTCACGTAGAGTGGGCAAGAGCATGGATCCAAACATTAACTGAATTGCAATCATATATAAAGCAGTATCATACCACTGGTCTAGTATGGTCTGGTAAAGGTGCGGCACCAGTTCGAGGTACTGCACCTCCACCACCACCAATGGGTGCTTGCCCACCACCACCACCACCGCCAACATTCGATATTGGAGGAATGTCATTAGAAGATGGTGGTGCAGATGATCGCAGTGCTCTATTTGCTGAAATTAATCAAGGCGAGGCTATCACAAAAAGTAACTTTCCTTTAATTAAAGAATATGTGGATATCATTTTGGACCGCCTTTTTTCCTCATAGATCTAAAGAAGGTCACTGCGGACATGCAAACTCACAAGAATACAACATTGCGCACTGGTCCAGCTCCATTTAAGACACCAACTCAGTTCGGTTCATCGTCTGGTGGTTCTTGTACTACTACCGCTGTTACAAAAGAACCAGTATTCACACGTGATGGAAAAAAATGGTTAATTGTAAGGATATAGAAATATTATAATTTATGATATATTTAAATAAATTTTGAAAATAACGATATCAAATCCCATTGTAGGAATATCAACGCAACAATCGCAATTTGTTAGTGGAGAATGCGGAAATGAACAATGTGGTATATGTGTATAAATGTGAAGGTTCAACTTTAACTGTTAAGGGCAAAGTAAACAACGTTGTCTTAGACTCATGTAAAAAGTGCTCTTTACTATTTGATTCAGTTGTCGCGTCAGTAGAATTCGTAAATTGTCAAAGTGTCCAAATGCAGGTTAGTTTTTTTCACTTTTCAATTTATGTTTCAGCCCCAATTTGTAATTTTTAGTCTTGCCTATAATAATAAATTGATCTATCGATATAGATTATACAAATTCACTAATATTTTTATAGGTTCTTGGTTTCGTACCAACTATATCAATTGATAAAACTGATGGCTGTCAAATGTATTTATCTAATGAATCACTCGGTGTGGAAATTGTAAGCTCAAAGTCTTCCGAAATGAATGTTATGCTTCCTCAAGCCAGTGGTGATTATGTAAGTAGATATTTAATGTATAGTTTAATAGAGCTTAAAATATTAACAATATATTGTTCTTAATACAGATTGAATTGGCTTTGCCGGAACAGTTCAAGACTACTATTTCGGGACAATCACTGAAAACTATTTGCGTGGAAAGTCTTGGTTAAACTCATTTAATGCCCTAGATGGATTCAAAACGCCAAAAAATTATCGAAGGCAGATGCAATGGAGTATTTACAGAAAACTTAACATACATATTTACAGAAAATCATTTTGCTACTCCAATTCACTTTTTATATAAGTAATTTATACTATGAAACATCGGTGTTAACACACAGGTTTTATCAAAAACAAACAAAAAAATACTAAAAAAACTTTTTAAGATTACAGTCGTTTAGTACCAATTAGGCGTATTGCAACAACAAATAAGTTTTTATCGCCTGTTTTTGTAAAGTGGAAATTAATACTACTAAATTTATATTTATAGTTGGGTTATTTATTTATCACACAGTAACATCAAAAATGATAATTTTGAATTAATTTCTAAATTTCATTAATATATCTTAATACAAGTATTTAATAAGTAACGCAAATAAAAGCAATTTATATTACCAGTTTACAAAGCAAGTTATATAATTTTTTTTTTTTGTAATTTTGAAAGCTAGGGTAATTAAAAAGTAAAGATATGCGAAATTAATATAATTATATTAAATTTTATGCATCGGTAATTAAATAAATTCAAATTTATACAGAATTACGAGATTATTTTATTGGTTTGGGTACTAAATTTTCGGTAAAGCAGAGCAAACATGTTTGAAGTATTTATTGAAGAATCCTATAAGTGCAATTGTTGATATTGCAAAGCAGCCAATGTTCCAGTATGAAGGCTAAAACTATCTTAATTTTTATTCAACATTGTTGCAAATTTTAAAAGTAATTTGATAAATGTTATATTCGCGCATAAACTTTAAAGTGTATGAATACAACGATGTACATACATATATTTTATAGGAATATATATTTTCATAACATTGGTGTAATTTATGAATGTACATGCGTACATACATTTACAAATAACTTTTGAAGTATAATGATGTGAATATTGGTAGTACTTAACACATCTGATGTTAGTGTTCGCTATGGTGTAATTCAATATCAGCCGCACTAAAGTTTTTTGTATTCAATACGTTCGACTTTCACTTCGTCGCCAATAAGTTGATATACATATGTCACAACGGTTGTACTTTGAATATCCATAAGTACAAAAGATGGTATTACATTTACGTCTAGAGGGTTAAAAGCACCAGTAGCAGATCCAGGGTTGATATAGAATTTATTTCCATGTTCATAAGCTTCAAATTTATATGTATGACCCGATATTAATATATCTACGTCTAATTGTCGCTGAATCAACGCTAGAGCTTCTGGATCACCACGGGGCACAACCTGATGTCCATGTGACAGTCCAATTCGAAACTGTCCAACTGTAACTACCTTCTGCTCTGGGTAACTCAAATTTTCATCAAATTCTCCGCGAACGATGTGTACGTCATTAGCCAATGTTTTGAGGTAATCATACGTTTCCTTTGTGCAAAGATTTCCTGTGCAAAGTATGTGATGAATTCGTCCTGGTACTAACAATTTCTTGAATTTCACCGGTAAACTGGCACAACGATGTGGGATATGAAGATCACCAAGTACAAGAACCAGCATTTTGGAGGCGTATATTTTAATTTATAGGTTGATGAAAATATAAAATGTTTTATCATAAACTTTCTCGCTTCTGATTAAATTTAAAGATCGCAAATTCAGCTGATTGTCAAAATAAAGTATGTTCAACAAAAACTAATACTATGTTTCAAGTAAGTACGTTTAGTTATTTTTAATTCGCAAGCCCATTTGTTTTGTTAGCATCAGTTCATTTCTCTTTAATTTACTGTGGTTATTTATCCCAAAATGTATAAACAGCAAAATGATGGTGAGCTTTCTTCATTATTGGTTTACTTCTATTTTTATAATCCTCTTTTTTAGAGTCGAATAAATTTAGCTTACTAGTGATTGTGCTAGACACCAATCCATCACAACGCATAGTGCGCCAAAATGCCCAGTTACTTACCCAATGTGTGGATGCCATTATTGCTTTTGGTAATGCACATCTCATGCAATGTTCACAAAACAAATTGGCTGTTCTTTCCTGTCATCATCACGCCACGTATAAAAAGCTGAATATGTGAAAATTTTGAGTTGAAAGAAATTCGTATATCTTTCAGTGACTTCTTGTATCCTTTGCCTGGAAAACAATTGGATGTTCGCCAGATTGATGGACAATATGAAGTATTTAGTTTGGTCGAGAAGACTGTAAAACAACGCCTAAGCCATATTATTACTAACTCACCAAAATTGAATGCACCCTGTGAAAGTATTTTAGCAGGCAGCATGGCAATGGCTTTATGCTACATTTCCAGAGTAAGTTCGCAAACGACATATATTAATAATTTAAATAAAATTTTTAAGGAGTAATGTTATGCTTTAGATACAACGTAATGCTTCTGCAGGTGTAAAAATGCACTCCCGCATTCTAGTTGTAACGGGCAGTAATGAATGTGCTTCTCAGTATATGACGTATATGAACGTTTTTTTTACGGCTCAGAAACTAGGAATTACAATTGATGTGTGTGCAATGGATAAAACGATGAGTCTCTTGCAACAGGGTTGTGATATCACGGGCGGTCAATATCTACGCCTTACACAGTTAGATGGGTTGTTACAATATTTATTATGGGTTTTTTTGCCGGATCCACAGATGCGTCAGAAGTTGGTACTACCTCCTGCAACAAAAGTTGACTACAGGGCAGCTTGCTTTTGTCATCGAGAGCTGATTGATATTGGCTATGTTTGTTCGGTTTGCTTATCCAGTAAGTTTGTTATATAGACCTTAACATATTGATTATTTATAACAAAAATTTTTATTTTCACTTATTTCAGTATTTTGCAAATTTAGTCCGATCTGCACCACCTGTCAGTAAGTTTTTTTTAAAGAAATAGTAAATCAGATGCCATAATACTTATTTCTGTAATTTTTACAGTACGGTTTTTAAAATACCCGGACCCATGCCCATTAAACCAAAGAAAAAGAAAAAGGTCTAATGGTAATTCACTTACATGTATTGTTATACAATTAACTTATGCAAAAAATATATCTTATTTTTGTTAAATTATATATTTCTCATTAATTTACAAAAATACATTGGGCCATAGTTAGCAGGCAAATAGGGGAGCACCATTTGTCCGTACTTTAAAACTTTATGATTTTCGAATTTAAATATGTCCTCGAATAATCTAATTTTGTAACTTAGATCTTTAACTGTAGTGGTTATACCATTTTCGTTGAATGCTTTTTGTAGCGCCATATGTACAACTCCATCGTTTTGCACAGGTGACAGTGAACATGTTGAATAAATCAAACTGCCACCTGGTTTTAATAGTCGTAAACAATTCGATAGGATGTCAGCTTGTAATTCAGGAATCCGTAGTCGTTCTTTGATACGAGTCGATTTAAATATATTGTTATCATTTACGGTCACAGAATGGCGGTCTGTAGTACATGGTACATCTACCAGAATCTTATCAAAGCTCTCGTAATTATCCATATATTTTGCATCACATTGGTTGAGAACTATTCGTTTATTTTCCCATTTTTCTTTATAGTCAAATATGTACTCTTGCAGTACTTTGCGAATTCTGTTGAGACGGGATTCTTGAATATCATTACAAATCAAGGTGTCTGGGAAAAGTGTTTGTAACATTATAAGTGATTTTCCACCTGGTGCGGCACAAGCATCCAAAACACGCTCACCTTCTTTTATGTCTAAAAACAATGGTGGCAACACTGATGCACCATCTAATAGATAATGTGAGAGCACACCTAGAAACAACAATTAGATTTAAAATGTCTTATTTGTAAATAAAATGTAAATTTATGTACCTGTTACACATTTTTTTGGTGCATTGAATTCGGAACAATTCCCAATCTCGTAGGTGTATAATTTAAGATTATCTGGATAGCAAAATTCCGTTTCCAACTCAAATTTTAAAGGAAAATCAGTATGTGTGGAATAGTATTTATAATGATCTGATTCAGGTATCCAATCTTCCATCCCTTTTATTTTGTTTGCCGGCATAAATTCATATAAGCCCCCTGTTCCATATTGTGGATCTATTAATCGGCTGTTGGCTAGTTGAGTATCCTTTTCAATCGCCATTTCAAGACTTTCTATAAATTTTTGATTCTCTCCATTCTCCGAATTGGTTTTTAATTCTGTCGTGTTGCCTGCACAGTACTCTAGCTGGTCGGATGTTTCTGTCTTTGAACTCATAGGGTATATTGACAGTTTTTCACGTTCTTCTTGCCTACTTAGTACTTTGAATAGATTTTTATCCAGCGTATTACTTGAACCGTTTATCGACAGCTTATTATTGCGCCCAATGCGGGCTCCTACTAATTTTATTAGAGATTTTATATTTAAAGCACCTAAAAGATAAATATATTCCATATAATTCGATATTCATAGAATGACACTTCCTACCGTTTAATTCCATTACATCGCAAGTTTTATCTGCATCTCCAAAGTTATTTACTACTGCTACATATTTATGCTCCGTTAATAACGCTGCTCGAATGTTTTTCCAACGAATACCAAAAACTGATCCATAAAAGTCATCGAAACTTTCTAGAGCTCGCTGAGTATTCGTTTTTTTTCCTTTGAATGCCTGCAAAAATTCTTATATATTCTTATATATTATAAATTGAATATTTTTATTCTATACACGCACCCATCGCTGACTTTTTAACCTCATTTGCAAATAAATAAGGCTATTAACTCGTAACATTTCTAAAGATGTTTATTTATGAGAAAACGTTTCCGGCTCATACTCAACTAATGCAGCAAATATGTGTTTGTTTCTTAACCGCTTAACACAGTAAACGTATCCAAAGCTACCAATTATCAAGAACCAATTTCCGCTAGGAAATCGTTTCTTTACCCAAAAACTTGCTGAAGACACCGTAAGAATTAAATAAAGCAATTAGTAAAAGTAAAAATTTTACTAATCAAAATGGGCTACTGTCAAATAACAATCAGCTGTAAATCACATGTGTAAGCAATCACACTAGAATCATTTGCTTTTATTTCGTTAGTTTTAAATCTTTAGATTTAAAAACATTGCTTAGGTTTTACTTTATCCCTAGTTTCTACAATGTTATGCAGTAATAAAGATTATAGGATGTGACTGTTTATACTCATTAGCCGTACATATTTATTAGTTTATTGGATTTTTATACCCTGAACAGGGCATATTAAGTTTGCCACGAAGTTTGTAATACCCAGAAGGAAACGTCGGAGACCCTATAAAATATAAATATAAATGATCAGCATGATGAGCTGAGTTGATTTAGCCATGTCCGTCTGTCTGTCTGTTCGTCTGTCCGTCTGTCTGTATATATATTATACAAACTAGTCCCTCAGTTTTTAAGCTATCGATCTAAATTTTGCACCTGTCCTTTTCTCACAAAGAAGCTGCTCATTTGTCGAAATGACCGATATCGGACCACTATAGCATATAGCTGCAATACAAACTGAACAATCGGAATGAAGTGCTTGTACGGAAAACTCTTTCATTTGACGAGGTATCTTCACGAAATTCGGCATGTATTATTATTTAAGACAACAATTTAATCTCCGAAGAAATTATTCAGATCGGGTGACTATAGCATATAGCTGCCATACAAACTGAACAATCGGAATGAAGTGCTTGTATAGAAAACTCTTTCATTTGACGAGGTATATTCACGAAATTAGACACGAGTTCTGGCTTAAGGCAACAAATTATTCTCTGCAGAAATTGGTCAGATCAGATCACAATATCATATAGCTGCCATACAAATTGAACGTTCGGAGTCAAGTTCATGTAAGGGGCCTTTGTATTTATGAAGGGTATTATAGCTTCGGTGCAACCGAACTTAACGTTTTTTCTTGTTTAATTATTAGAATAATTTATTTTTATTTTGCACTAGCTTAAATGATCTTATTTGGGGAAAGTGCAAAATCATCTGTTTTCGAAATCATCGGGTTGAACCAAAGGAAAGGGGTATTAAGTGAATGGGTCTGGCGGGGTATGTATAGAGGTGGTTAGTGTCATGTGGGGACTCTTTGAATGAAGGACATATGTATGTATGTATAAATGCTTAATATGTCAGGCATTATTATAGATAAATAGGAGTTTAACCAGCTATAGTATCCAGAACGATGTTGCCCAAGGGTTTTACGCGTTCAATACACGTCTGAAATTTGTCGCGTCCGCAATTTCGTCGGTACTAAGGTATGACGGGGGATATCAAGTAAGATCGCGGTTGCTTGTGAAGTGAAGGAGTACAGATTATAAAACGTAAAATCTAAATTTTTGTGATTATTTCCTGTTGGAATTTTAGCAGAATCGGCACAAATGTTGGGCCCTGGTCTGTTAATATGTCCGCAGTGTAGAATTTTAGGCTCCTTGCAATGAGGAAGTGAAAAATGTCAAAGAGATATGGTACGGATGGTTGACCAGCGCTCAAATAATTCATGCATTATCTTTTCAGCCATAAAGGAAGCGTGGCTTGTTCAAATTTCTTCATAAAATAGTAGTAATACTGGGTGGGAGGGAGTGGTGCACAGGTGAAGGCTGTTGTGGCTGTAGTACCCGTGGAGACGGTTGGCGCACTGTGGGGGACGGGGGGTTGACTGATCATACTGGGAGCCTTGGGTTATGCTCTTATTGAGTAAAACCACATTTCTGTTCTAAAGTATTTTAAGGATAACACAGGGTAAAAATATTCCTTGCCGGGAAATACTTTTTAATATCTCTGTGGATACCAGATTTAATGAATAAGTTTTGTTTGAAAACATGCAGATGTATGTATGTATATTCTATTTGATAAGTGCAATAACTTGATAGAAATGCCTACAACAGATTTGCCATGTACGTACTATGTTTACTACTAACTACTATCACTAACTTAATAGAAGCCTATCTTATTTAGAAAAAACAAAAACAATTTTGGGGCTAAATGTAAATATGTGTATATACATACATATATACGTGGTATATAATTGTTTAATGCCCATTTTCTTTAGCAAATACATAAAATTCATAAAATAGTAGTAATACTGGGTGGGAGGGAGTGGTGCACAGGTGAAGGCTGTTGTGGCTGTAGTACCCGTGGAGACGGTTGGCGCACTGTGGGGGACGGGGGGTTGACTGATCATACTGGGAGCCTTGGGTTATGCTCTTATTGAGTAAAACCACATTTCTGTTCTAAAGTATTTTAAGGATAACACAGGGTAAAAATATTCCTTGCCG